TCATCACCCGTCATAACTGGCAACAGAGAAACTGCAGTTTTTAACTCAAACTTCTCCATGATTGTTGTACTATGATACCTACCTATGTTTTCAGAACAAAGTTGAAGTATTTTCGAATAAATCGAATTAATTGTATCGAATATTTCACAAAGCTTTTGACTCTCCGAACTTTTTATTTCCTTAGTTTCTACTTGCTTTATAATCGACTTACTTAATAACCAAAATTTATCATATAAAAATTTTGCTTCGGCCCTCTTTTTGTCTCTTACACTAGATGTCCTTCTACTAGGCCCTAACTTCGTTAGGTAATCTTTAATATGCTTTAATTCTATTAATATTTCATTAATTTCATCTGCCATAACCTAAGGATACATAATACATTTTTTTTTAATACGGTTACATAGGTTTACACTTATATTAGAATGATTACAGATTAATACATAATTAATATGTTAAACTAGGATTACACTAATACTCAATAACCACATAATATTCTTTACGCATTTTTAAGAACCATCACGCACACAACACACTCACACTGGCAAATTCCCTGTAGCAGCAGACCCACGTTCTCGTCGCCGCAGCGTGCTCATAGACCTTCTCAAGTCATAAGCCTCTATCCCACGCTGGATCCATTCGCCATGGCATTTCCGATAATATCGGAACAGGATTATCGCGGCCCCAACAAAAAGTTGAGCACAAATTGCGATTAGAGCATAAGATGTTGAGGTGGCATGCCACAATAATTGCTCCGTGGAGGCAGAGTTCCCAGCTCCGTTTTGAGCGATTATAATTTCTTGCTCCTTGGATTGCTGCTTGCCCATATTTTTAATTTTTGATAAAGTCTTTGCCACAAATTCACAGTCACTCTGGATGGGATTTTGCAATATAAAAACGCCATAATTATAATTATTGTCTTTAACTTTACATTTCACTTAGTGTTTATTTTATCATTGCCATATACGGCCGGACACCGGACTCGCGCACGCGCTGGCAGGGTCGCCATATAGGGTTCGGAGCGGGATTGTAATAAGACAACCACTAGGTTCGAATACACTTTAATAAGTCTCTAATATAATAAGATATAATAGCTTAAATACTAACTTAAAGTAGGTTAATGACATCACCCTATTATGACACCACAGCGAGACCCGGGATTTGAACTTGCTCCACTCGGTTTCCCAAGCGAGCGTGTTACCACTGGGATACCACTGCCTAGATACCTTTTACTTCAAGAAAATCTTTCTTTCCCACGGGAAAATACAATAACTGGTTTTATAGAGTCCTCCTTAGAAACCTTCCGCTGGCTAAGCCTTAAGACATACATACATTAAAACAATATACAAAAAAATTGTAGGTCTTGAAAAGTCCTACAGAAAAGTTCTGAATTGTATATGTCTATCTCCTAAATTACACTCGCAATATTTATTCTTATCTATACGATAATAAAACTAACTTAGTCAAATCGATGTGCGCGTTTCACGCAAAAAGTACTCAACCGATTTTAACTAAATTTTGTATAGTGATAAAACTAAGTACTCGGGTCAACATTTAGGATACCTTTTACGACAGGCAAATTATTGATTACTCGAAAACACAATAACTGGTTCTATCGAAGCAAGGGCAAGAAATTTATATGGCTAACGTTGGCTCAACCTTAAGAGATAGATCAAAACATTGTGCAAGAAAATTGTAAGTCCTAAAAAGGTCTATAGAAAAGTTCTACATAGTATATGTCTTTCTCCTAAGGTACACTCGCTGTAACTATTTTCATTATTATATATTACTGTTTTATTAAACGTATTTATTCTATTCTATCTATACATATAATAAAACTGTAGAGGTTATTTCTCTTCTGTTTGTCTGTTTGTACGGGCTAATCTCCGAAACTATTGAACCGGTTTAAATTAAATTTTGTATGGTAGTACCTTATATCCCCGGTCAACATCTAAGATACTTTTCATTCCAGAAAATTAAAGAGTTTCCGTGGGATAGTTAAAAAACTATAGTAATTTATACAGCTTAGTACACAACAACTTACGCACCTAATTTCGTAAAATTTGGCATGCTGATACCTTATACTGCCGGTCAAATAACAGGTTACTTTTCATCCCGGAAAAATGAACGGTTCCCGTGGGATAGATCTGTTTGTGCTATTCTAGAGGTGAACCCGAGCGAAGCGAGGGTGAGCCGCTAGTAATATAATAAAATACTAAGTCGAATCTGTGTATTAAATATTATAAATACATATTATGTATAGATCTTTTTCGTTAATTTTATCTTTTAAAGTTTTAAATAGGTTATTTATGTGAAAAATGTTATGTGAAAATGTGTATATGAAATTAAAGAAGGGATTACGTATTCAAGCACACGATTTCCTTAATTATTTTTATATTTGGGAATTTCTAATTTAATATTTATACTGCCTCTTAAAAAGTGTTTTTCAATCGACTTCTTCAAAAAGGAGAAGGTTCTTAATTCATCGGAATCTTTTCTTTTTATGTATGTTCTTGTTCACCGATTTCTCGGAAACCGATTCCGATTTTGCTACTTCAAACGGTATTGTATTGAGGTAGGTCCCAAGGTGGTCCCATAAAATTTTCTTTGAGATAGAGTATACCGTTTTCGAGAAAATCAGGAAAAACCTAGTAATTTCAAGTATGTTAACAGATTTAATTAGACTTTTTACCTACTTTTAATTGTCATATCGACTTGAAACTTTACAAGTATTTGTAATTCCGATGATAATATAGTAATTTTGTATTTTGGAGCTGAACTGATGGTGAGGCCAGAATACGGTTATTGGAACTCTTCAACGACTCCTAGCAAATAGTTTGTGTTTAGGCCTATTTGGTTTGATTTAATAAGCACAATACGTTGGAATTGGATTTTATAGCTTTTTTTTTTAACGTTGGGAAATGCATTTACGCACGACGTGTGGGACTCACCGGCGTAATACAGCCAGTACTACCCACTAAAACCCAACAAAACCTCCCCCGTCTTAATGGGGCGTCGCAGGATCGCTTGCGCATTCAACTACGACGCCCCGACGGCAGGTCTGCCGAAGCAGACCACCACAACCATGGGGTTGCTCCACAGTCCACTCTGCTATCAGAGAAGTACCAGGAGTAACCCGCATGGTACACCGCCCCCCAAAGAGGGCCACCTCCCACCGCCCACCGAAGTGGGCAACCTCCCTGTGCGTTTCTTAGCTTCGCGCCCGGTTGGATTGTCGGGCACTACTGAGCCCCCCCACCACGACAAGGTGAACGCACGTTGGGGGGGTGGATTTTATAGCCTGGTTTAACCGACTTGCAAAAAGAGGTATGTTCACCGATCTCTCGGAGGCAGCTTGACCGATTTTGCTACTTTAAACTGTATCTTATTCAGATAGATCCTGAGGTGATCCTCTATTTTTTTTTTATACAGAGTTTACCGTTTTCGAGAAAATCAGAAAAAAATCATGAAATTTGAACTATGTTCACAGATCTAATTTGTCTTTTTACCTACGTCTAATTGAAACTTTGCAAGTTTTTGTATTTCTGATGATAATATAGTTATTTGGTATCATCGAGTTAATATGATGGTGAGGTCAGAAGGTGGATAGTGGAACTCTTCAACGGCTACTTGTAAATAAATACATTGAGTTTGAGCTTATTTGGTTTCATTTGAAAAGCCCAATACGTCAGAATTGGATTTAAGAGCCAGACTTTTAGTGTTGCTAATAAAAGTGAGTTTTTTAGTATGTTAGTCTTTATATATGTAAAATTTGGCAGTATACTCACATAAATGGTTTAATCAAATATGTATCGAAAAAATATGTTATTAAAATTCTTTCTTCTTACAAATTATCTGTTTATTATGTCTACACTAAAAGGTAAAAAATAACTAAACGGGGGTTTTCATTTAGTACAGATACTTAATCAGATATTTTCGAAATCCGTGCCATAGCCGTGGGCTATATTTATCATCATGCTATTACCCAAGGGAGCGGGACTGTAATCATAAATGTTAACAACTCGGGCAGACTTCCATACATTAATGTAAAACTATATATTAATATATAGGGACGAACCCGAGCGAAACGAGTGAACCACTGTATAACATAAGCCAAAAAGCTTTTTTTTAGATTGAACGCGGGCGAAGCCGCGGGTTCTGCTAGTTTATTATATATTTGATTAAGAAATCTATAAACGGTACATATACCTATGTATTAGATTTACTCTTAACACAGTGATGCCATATAATTAAGTTACGTATTTGCATTACTACAGCTTATTATGATAAGTATATCTAATTTTAATATACCTAAGCCTATGTGGTTTTTTCTTCTACACTTCTTTATTTTATGGGAATTTAAAATTATTGTAAATATTTATTTTGCCTTCAATAAATTCAATGAACTATAGTTATTAGAAAATGAATTAACATTTTTCTTAGATAAATTTTATTATTTAATTAAATTAATTGCTACTTGTAAATTAATTAAACGAATTTATTGTTTATACAAATGGATTTTAATTATCTAAAGTAGTAATTTCTGTTTGACTGTGATCGATAACATTTTCCCCTTGAACGCAGCATCCTACCTACTATCTACCGATTTATCTTAAGTTTATGTCGATTTGTCCTAAACAATAGATTATAATAACCATGTACATGACTAATAATAGTTGACCATGCTGAGAATTAAGTGCAAAGCAATTAATATAATCGCTAAAAAATAATATAATCGCTATACGAGAATCAGGTAAACGAATGTAAATAAGCAGGTTGATACGTAACAACAATGTATGTTACTATGGCAATTGGCAACGCATTTTCTTCAACGAAGGTATTGCTTCTGGTGAAGGAAATGTGTGTGTTGAATGATAATCAAATTAGGTACCTACGGATTAAAATAAATTTGCAAAGAGAAGGCATTACTAATAGATCCAAATAAGTATAATAAAAATAAAACATTTCTACTATAAAATTGTGTTCTTTATCGTTTATTTTAGAAAGGTGCTTGCTCAAAGCGAAATGTTAGTGTTGAAAGACCGCGAGCTAAAAGAGACGAGGAACTTATACAGCGCCGTTAAAGATATGCTCGCGCTGCAGCCGAGTCCTGAGATACAGGTTATTAATCATACATTCTTATTTTATCTTGCAAATAATATCCTGCTAACAGGTTTTACCCACAGCGGCCAATCTCACTGACGCTAACCATGTGCGGAGGAGATATTACAGCAAACAAGTGTACGCGCAAACACAAGTGCACTCTCTATTCCTGTCACTCTCATACTCCGGTGGGACGACACGAGACACGACCGGTGAGAGTTAAGGCGCGGGACCGACGCGACACGTGCTCTCCGAGGCACGGGGGTGTAACACAGACAATTTTCGGGATTCTACTAAGAATTTCTTGACATAAAACTCAATAACTATACTCAGCCCGATCCGGAACTTGAACCCAAGACCTACCTACCTATCATATCAATATGCAAACGTTCGTGCTAGCAACTAGACCAACGATCTAATAAAAATATTGTACAGCGACTAGTTTTTAAAGTTCAGTGCATATTTTTATTTGTAAGAATTTTCCGTTTTTTTATTAAATTACTTTGCATAATATAAAGATATTTTTTGATATGCCACATTTATATTATAGAATCAGATAATATGTATTATGTAGGTAATAGGAAGCGTTATTCGCTAGGAATTTTTTTAAATAATTATTAATTAAGAAAACCTTGTGTTTTAAATGTGTTAAGTTTTGAATGGAAAATTTAAGGATTGTGTTTTTTAGCAAACACTAAACAGAACGCAACGAGCTCTGGCACAAAGAACAACTAAAATGAAATGTTTGATTGCAGGTAAATATTAGAAATAAAAGTAATATATAATATAGATTTTAAAGTTATTTATAAATGAAATTTAAAAAAATAATAAAAACACCCGGTTGCGTAAAAAGCGAACTAAAAAGAGAATAAGTAAATGAAGGAAAATCATAGGTATTATGCAGTTGTAAACATACTTGTACGTTTTATCCTTACTGTGAGAGTAGCTGACTGTAGCGACGTGTAAGTGTTTATTTTATTTTCGAAATATATTTTTTTATTTACAGCTTTTTAGTTTCGTCGACTTATAATCTTTTGCGCTTCGCCGCAGTCGGGTAATAAAATAGTAAATATATAAGTAATTGAAGCTAAATAAATATGTTGAGACATTAACACACAGCACCATCTAGTTCCATGGTAAGCTACGAGGCTTGTGTTATGGATACCAGATAGTTGATACACTACACATTTATAACTTTAAATCATTACATATTATAATATAAACACCCATGACTGGAGTACAAGCATTCATGCTCATCACACAGATGAGCATTCATTATTCCCAGCGGGACTCGAACCCCCGGCCACTGGCACAGCAAGTAGGGTCACTATAAACTGAGCCAAACGTGTCGTCAAACTAAATGACTCCGCTGAATACTAACTACTAAGTACTTACCGAGTTATTTTTTTTAACTTATAATAATCTGAAATGTAACTACATATTTCACTTTTTCCTATAACGTGAAAATAAACTTTCCTTGTTTATATATGTCCAAGTCTCTCAGCCCTCTCGCTCGGAATTCTCTATTTCCTATTTAAACCAATATCTCATTACACAAAGTTTAAGTGGGTCTAAACAGCTAAAATAATAATCTATACCTACTAGTCTAAAGTCTTTCTGAGTTTGTTTGTTTGAACGCGCTCATCTCAGGAACTACTAATCCGATTGGAAAAGTTCTTTTTACATTAGCGAGCCTGTTTATTGAGGAAGACTATAAGCTAATTTAATATCATGTAATATATAGTCTACCTATTCCGTACTAACCGTTAAAACGTACCTAGGGACAAACCCGAGCGAAGCCAGGGTGAGTCGCTAGTATATTAATATATCCACTTCCAAGAGTACAGTTACCCATCCACGACCGCGGACACGCCGACGTTACAGTTAACAATAGATTTCTTAGAAATTTAATTATTTTCTTAAAAAATTACCTGGAGGTGTATGTACATACATGATTACAAATTTAAATTAAAAAATATACTAAAACTGTTTCAGAGTTAAGTATGCGTGAACGTCAAGTGACAGATCTTCGTTTAGAATTGGACAGAGTGAACAATGAGTTGCATTCTGCGAAGCAGAGGTACTTTGAAATGAAACGCGCCCTCGACGCGGATGAAGCGAGGCGGTTGAAAGTGGCCACGCCAGCCACTCCTGACCATAAATTGATTTAATTGTTTATTTTACATTAGTCTGTATCTATATCTATATATAAAACAAAGTCGGGTTTGTTACAACACTTATAACTCGAGAATGGCTGTACCGATTTTGATGATCTTTGATTTGTTGGGTTTGGTCTCCGCCCCGAATAGTAGAATAACTATTATAACATCGGAAAAGTGCAAGAAAAAAAATGTACATGGCTAACGCTGGATAATAACTATTTATATCAATTTAAAACGTACCTAGGGACGAACTTGAGCGAAGCGAGGGTGAGACGCCAGTTATTTATATTTCATATACAGTCAGTCCTCGTACTTGCGGCATATTCGGTAAAATACGTTGTTGCTAGTAGTTAAAACACTTGATAGTAAAGTCAGCAGGCCTTTTAAAAGCTAATTTTTATTATTTTATGAGACTTCAACAGTTCTTTGTGCCTACCTTTTATGTTTAACGCGACGTGTATAACCATAATTGAAATGTCATAAGTCGAAACATTTTTTGCATATATTTTCATATAAAACCTAGGGTTGTTTCTATAAGAACTTTTAAGCTAAATAGAACTGCATTGTCTACAAATATGCTTTATGTTTTTTTACATATCAGAACGCTAATTACAGGTTAATTTACTTTTACTATAAAATATATTGTCGTACAGTTTTTGTACACAATATCCTAATTGACGAAGTTGTTGATATTTGATTTTAAATGTTAGATTTAACCTACATTGTATTTAATTAAATTTAATTCTTATTTAATGGCTTTAATGCGTGTCAGTGTTGAGTAGAAATTAGTTAGTTGAAAAAGTAAATATATATTAATCGAGCTCCGTTTTAAGGTTGATTTTTCAATTATCAAATACAATATTCAATATGAACAAATTGAAATTGACAGTTGTATGAATAATATAGTTAAATTGTGTCACTTTTACATAATTACATTCAGATTATAATTTACTTGATATAATAATTATTATTATTTAATAAATGGAAAAGCCATTAACAACTGAATAATAGTATATATATTACAATTTAAATGTAATTAGGTTATTTATGTCCTGATTAAAATCAAAATAAATGAACTTGGTGTTTATACATAAATAACTTTTAAATGTAGTAAATATGTAAAACAATAAAAGCCAAAAATTTTACTACTTATTATGTAACATATTTTTATACAAGTATGAATTTTGTGGTTGTTAATTCCTTTTGTAATAACGTTATAAAAATTTTAATGTATCAATTTTTCAACAAAGTGTATTTTACGTAAGACTGATATTAACAAAGTGCAATAAATGTTGGTTATATCCACTTAATATTTGTTTTTATGTTAAATGACTCGACGAGCTAAATTTTAGAATTGTTGTCGTAGAGTTATTTCATGAAACCCCGACACAAGGCAACCCAGTAAAGATATCATTTATTAAGTTTGTGAACTCATTTCATTACTTTGGTTAATTACTAGCTAGCTACTAACTGAACTAGGTGACAGATTAGAAATTCTATAGAAAAATATATTTCAAATTTTTCCCCAATTTCCCAATTCTAATGGTACTTTTCTAAAAATTTTCCCATAAAACCTAAATTCGTAATATTATGTTTTAAAAATGAAATAAACCATATCGATCAATAGCATTCTTGAAAACTAAAATTCCGTATATTTCCTTTTACAACATTTTATTAATGAAATAACGCCACAATCAATTCAGTTGCCTTTAAACTAGAAGACATTTATCTTAAACAATAAACAGATGCAATATACAAAGATCCATCCACTTTAATCAGAAGATGCTGAATTTGGGGTAAAAAATAAAACACCAGAATCATTAATCCGAAAACAATAGTTTTATTTAAGAACTTTTCACTTTCTCATAAAATATACACATTGTGTTTGTCATTAAACTAAACTGTAAGTAAATACTAATTTTAAATACCAATTTCTCATTCGGATTCTTATATCGGCCCGCTGTTGCGATTCGCTCTACATAGTTTATTGGTGTTATGTTCATGTACAAATCCTTTACTTAATTCTATTTAGAAAAGAAAAAAAAATAATCAAATGAAAGCATGATTTTGTACATTCAAATAAAAAAAAAACACAAGTCCTCTGTTTAATTGATAATTAGTGTGATGATAGAATCTAGTCCATTGTCGATACTTAAAAAATAACAGTTTGTATGCTGTGCAGGCTGTGGACTGCGAAGGGGCGTACAAATGCGAACAAATGCTGGACAGAGGGGGCGCACATATCCAATATTCACATAAAAAACTCAAACTACCCACATATAGTGTTCCTTCTGTCTGTCTGTCTGCGGATAGACATTGCGTGCGATTGTACTTATACAAATGTAAAAATAACGTCCGTCCGTCGCCTGCCCCTCCCATAGCCGCGGCCCGCGACTCCCACGTTGCTATACTATACAGTATATAATAGCTGTCCCAAATTACCGAAATACAAACACAGAGTCAACTATCCGACGTTTGCCTCTGGCCCTGGCCTGCATTGCCACAATGCCACGTTGCCACAATGCCACACAATGTCACAATGCCACATAGTCCGCTGTGAGGCAAACGTCGCCACTATACACTCGCTGGCTTACGACGTAGGTACTTATGACATATGCGATGGAATCAATAAAACTATTGTTTGTATGTTTGTTTGTAGCGATATACGGTACTGTAACGTAGCGTCTCGCCTAGTGGACGTCGGAGCTCTCTTGCTTCATCTGGTGGTTAGCCGGGTCCGAAGTGTTGATCGGCTGTAACGCAAAATGAAATATGTTGTTATCTTTATTCAATCAGTATTTGACACATGGGGAGTAACAAAACGTGTTTGGAAAATCATCACCGCCTTGCCAATTTCCCAATCACTTGGGGTCGGCGCAGTACTTCTTCCGCACTGCTGATAGGATTTAGAAAAAGTTATACGACCGGCCACCTGCCTGACTTCAACTCTCCTTAGCTTGGGAATTAAAAAAAAAATTAAAATAATTTAAGTTTTTAATCATCAAGACAAAAGGTTATGAAAGCAAACAGTAACTTATATATCTCAAGTTCGCTACGATTTATCAAGGTAGGTTTATTCTTTAACAGACTTCTTAGTCTTACAATTATGATCCAAGTTTCATTAAAAATCGATACAGCAGGTGATTGATAGGCGATCTTTGTATTTTGGCGGAAATACTCTCAAATGCAAGAGTTGTCGAAAGAATACCAATACATTTCATTTCATACATAACGTCTGTAACTACAATGTTGTTTCTTACCAGTGCCATATACCTACTGCCGTCATAATAAAGTAGGTCCTAACAAACAATTTGGTCAAAAATGATATAAATTCAGATTCGGAATAAGCAAAAAAAAGCTACTTGATAGTCTTACTCATAAAGCTATAAGTCTTTTGAATCCAAAGATACCATAACCATTTCCCTCGTAACTACTGCAATGGTAATTTTGACGTAGTAGTAAGGACAAAACTTCAAATATCTCGAAATCAACTTTGACGAAGTTGCGGCCTTCTTTTTTATGACGGCAGTATACATAGTGTATGTATCAGCGATGCCAATTGGCGGGTAAATTACCTGAAAAGCGGGTAATTTTAAGAGATTTTCGATGGCGGGTAATTGACTTGAGCGAGGTCAAAGCAGGTATTTAAGGTTTAAGGTAAGCTGATTCATTTGATATTTTAAGTTTTTTTTTTATGTTCTCTGTATCTTCTTGTATTCTATATAAAACATGAATAAATTCCTTAAAAATAACCATTTTCGACTATTCTGCTCAGGATAAACCGGGTATTTTGAGGTTTATCGGTCGGGTAAATCGACGACTGTTATCTGGCATCCCTGGTATGTTTATACAGCGCGTGTGTGTATGTGTGTGTGTATGCAGCACTAACCAGAGTGATGGGCGGCTGCGGCGGCGGCGGCTGCGGCGCGGGCGGCTGCGGCAGCGCGGGCGGCTCGTGCACGGCCGTGGTGGAGTGCGCCGCCTGCGCGCCCCCGCCACCGTAGTAGCCGCCGTTCATGCCTGCGCACAGTGTCAACAAAACTATACTATATATATTAATTCAATTGCGTCCCTAGGGATGAACGATTGAGAAACGCAGAGGACAAACGTATAAGGAAAAAATCTTTTTTTTTTTGGTTCAAGAAACTTATGCTATACTAAGGCAGTAGTTATCATATACTAAGGCTATTCTCAGTAAATAAAGTCTCTCGTAATACCTTCAACCTGTACTGTCTACACCATAGGCATAGACAGTGGACGGAGTGTCTTGTTGCCAGCCGTCAGCTAAAAACGACGGAAAGACGCGACAGAGACAAAACGAACGTACGAACATTGAAATTAATGAAGATAGATATTTATAACCATTTCACATCCCACTCTAATATTATTACCATTTTACATTCTATCCATAAAATTAAACCGTGACAAAACACAAGTATCGGTATGTGGAGTGTGTACGTACCCTCCGTGTAGGTGACGGCGGGCGGCGGCTGCGGCGGCTGCAGCGGCGGCGCGGGCGGCGGCAGCGCGGGCGCGGCGCCCGGCAGGAAGTAGTCCTTGTTGACGCAGTTGCGCAGGCAGTCGGGGATGCGGCCCACGATGGCGCGCCGGATCTCCGACGCCGCCATCTCGCGCAGCTCCTGCGCCGACGCGTCCGAGTAGAACGCGGCGTGCGGCGTGCACAGCACGTTCGGCGCGTCCTTCAGCGGCCCTTGCTGCGCACCAACGTTACGATCAATGCAATACTACTACTAATATAGCGAAGGCATCAAACGAGAGAGTTGTGTGGGACGTGCGTGGTGTAACGCGGATGAAATGCTATCGGATTGTCATTATAACTTTTTTATGGACTGTTGGGAAACGACTTTAGGACTAAAGATATGTTGACAATATCAGAACAAACGTGAGCTCGAATGAAAACGCACACATCCCTACCATATTATAAGTAGGGCCATACGCGTAGAGTTTCATTACATCGTTGTATAAAGCTTTGTAGAAACTCCATAGAAAATTTTGATGTGATATCACCATTGAAAATTCTGACATAAACTAAAAACTATACATACTACATATTTGATTTTACTTAAATTAATATCGCACAGAAAACTTACTCAACAGTTAAAACAGTATTGAAATAAAAACAAAGTCACACTAAAACTAATTCGTTTAAATATCTCGTTAATTTAGTACCATTAGGCCATAAGCGATGAGTACAATGCAGTACAAAAGATTTTAACGATTTTATAAAACCATAAATTCAACACCTTTATTATAATTATTTCGGAGTCATTAAAGCACAGATTATTTCGCCAATGTCACGCCAATAAATGGAGAAGACATTATTATTATATATCGACATAACGCGAGCATGGCAAGATCAGACATTCGATTACAACTTTAATTTTAACTTTCATAATATTCTATAATGTGTCCTTTTGTGTTGAATTTTAATCATTCTTTACCATGGACGTTGCGTCATAATAATATTTATATAAATTACAAATTAGCTACTCTTCAAATTGAAAACGATTAAAACTAACGCGTTATTTAATAGCCTTAACGGTTACCGCAGGTGCGGTCACGCACTTGACGCTTTAATTGTTTAAGTACCTTAATTACAGCGATAATGATGAGCATTAAGACGATACCTCGAAAATTTCCAAATTGTTCTCTGCCACTTATATCTTCAAGATTGGATTAATTAAATCTATTTTTATATTTATGTTTTTGACTATATGGTCTAAATTTGCATAAAAGGAAATATATTGATTAACTTACTTTTAAAACACATAAATAAACACGTCATGTAAATTCTTTAAAAGTTCTTTTTTTTCCATAATATGTTGTTTCGTAATAAAAAATTTTGCTATCGTGTCTTATAGCCATCTTTTTTTACGTGACATTGGCGAAGTAACCAAGCACACTTTGAAGCCATTAACAAGAAAATTCAATTTAATATATCCTTTAATGCGCACATGAGTTACTTGCGTCAAACTTATTTATCTATAATTAATTTTCTATCTAGCACCTAAAAGAAATGTTAGCTCCTACAGGTAAATTTCTAAGAAATTAATTAAATTTCTAAAAAATAAATGCAAACTGTAACACCGGTTTGCCGACACTATGACCATAGTACCTGTGGTCGGGCCACATCATGTTGATGGTAAGTGAGTACTGGTCTATATCTTGAAACGGTCGGACATATGATGTACTCAGCCCTTTATCGCCCCACTGCTGGGCACGAGTATCCCTTCAATACGAGAGTGATCAGGCAATAAACCGTCATGCTAACTTAGTGCGGGACAGACTTCACTCATGATGGAAATGATTCGCACATGATAATATCAGAGGTGCGAGAGCCGGGATTCGAACCCGTTTCGCTGGGCTACCACTGGGCGTATGTATATAAGGCAGCATGTACGGTTTTGCTTACTTTACGCGATAGCTTTTCGAGGCGATGCTTCGCAACATTTTTTATGAGTGCATTTAAAGACACCAAGTCGAACAAACGTGGCCAGTTGGCGTCGCCAAAATTATACTGTAACTTCAGTAATTAAAGTACTTTAAACTTATAAGTATTTTAACTTATGCGCTCCAAACTCTAATAACAAGTATATTGTACTGTTGTAACTGGGACGGTAGACGTCACCTACCTGGAAGACATTGAAGGGCTCGTTCTCGTGCACGTCGAGCGCGGCGGCGCGGATGCGGCCCTGCTTGAGCGCGGACGCGAGCCCCTCGTCGTCCACGAGCCCGCCGCGCGCAGTGTTCACTAGGAACGCGCCTGCCGACACGCACCAGTATCAAACACTGTTACTTTGTAATCATATACATATATCTAATATATAAATATCTCGTGTCACGATGTTTATGGTCGCTCTCCTCCGAAACGGCTCGACTGATTTTAATGATTTTTTTTATATGAGAATAGGTACTTACTTACCAGGTAATTACGTACCTATTATTCAAAGAACATACATACTATTAAGAAATAAAACGAGTTACCCAACATTAATCCAAATCAAGTAATAAACTCTTTTTGCATGGTTATAAACAAGATACGAGTATAACACAAAATTACATGAAATAAAAATAAACGTGTTATCTGACATTATTCTAGCGTCAATATATCTTACTAATATTATAAATGTTAAAGTTTAAATGTTTGTTACACTATCACGCCAGAACGGCTGAACGGATCTGGATGAAATATGGCACAGAGATAGATTATAGTCTGGAATAGCACATAGGATACTTTTTAATCCGAAAAAAATACGGTTCCCGTGGGATAATTTGTTTTTGTTCTTCTAGAGGCGAACCCGAGCGAAGCGAGCGTTAGTAGCTAATATATCACTCTCAAGAAAAAAAATCGTTCGCCAATTGTTTAAGGCATACTTCTTTGACTCATTCTGTGCGCAAAACCTATATGAACCTATTAATGCAAACGGATATCATTTTTCAAAACTATTTAAGAATGTGTATTGGACAGAGACAGACTTGAATTTTACTTATAGATATATGATTAGCAATTAGTGTATTTATTGTACCTGGGCGCATCTGTTTGATAGTGAATTCATTGATAAGGTGGTGATTGTGTTCGTTTAAGCTGCAGTGCAATGACACACAGTCACTCTGGAAAAGGAGGTCCTGGAAACAAATAAATGCGAATATTACTTATTGAAATAACATGTTTTTCATCATGTTTACTAAAATAGACGATGAGTAAGCCGTAAGTATATCGTTTTAAAATACCGTAACAGTTTTGATAGTTTATAAAGAACATTTGAATTTTCTTTTTCAACCTTACAATCAATATTTCTAGATTAGCTCAAACTACGCAATCCCTACATATATATACTTCTAATATATTTTCTATACACATTGAAATAACAAATAAGATTATTACATTCATAATACTTAATATAAAACAATTAAAGGGAGTAGAACACAATCCTTAGGGCCCATGCACACGACTGCTTTCGCACTATTGACACGCACGCTTACCGTGCGTTTGTATTGACACAAACGACAGCAATCTATTACTATTTTCATTATATCCTCATCGTCGGTGCGTTCATGAAACTTATTATGCATAGGCCCTTTAAGGTTATCCGCGCAGAATACGCGTATAGACGACACGCGTTCATGTTAAGAACTGCGCGTTTTTTAACGTGGTGTACCTTTTAGATTTACACGAATACTTGACATTTTGGAATAACACTATCTTTTCGGATTTATTGGTCCCCAATAATAGCCACGGGATACTCGTAAAACGACACAATATCAACAAACTGTCGTCTGAAGCAGTTACCTACCTGAAGCGTATAAACCCTGGTCAAACCCAACGACTTCTCGATGCCGTCGGGCAGGTACGGGTCGTAGAATATGACGTTGAAGCCGAACGCCTTCGCGCGCAGTGCGACCGCCGAGCCGATGCGGCCGAGCCCCACGATGCCGAGCGTGTCGCCGCGTATGCGGGCGCAGCCGGCCGCCGCCTCGCGGACTTGCTCTGGACCTGGAGTTTTTATACTTTAATATTTACTACATATCAGGGTATGAAATTATCAAGATAAATATATCTTTTGATAATTATCGTGATAATTATCAAGATAATTATCAGATAATTATCAAACAAATATAAACTTAGCAATCCTTGTGTAGGTATTGGTATTTGACTACTTGCCTATCATAATTTACGTTAAAATAAACTATACATTTTTAACAATCAAGGTAATCTATTATTATTATTATTTTTTCATTATTCTGAAACAGACAAACTTGGAAATAAAAACAGAATAAATTGAATCATCTATATAGACACTATTTGATTAAATTATAGGTCTCTGTCTACTACACCGTCTCATAAAGTGCTCTCCGACAGTGCTAGGACCGTGTCAGGCAAAAAAATATACCTTGTATTGAAATGTAAGTAAGTGACTATGCCCACTAGACCGTTCCATCACCGACCTACACCTTTCCGTCACCGGCCAACACCGTAGTGTGCCGTGCATGGAAAGTTATAAATAATTGTCGGCAAGAATATTTTGCCGGTACCGATACGCTCCACAACGAAACCACGTCACCTTTATACGCTTCAAATACAAATGAACTTTATATTAAAACTAGCTTTTCCCTGCAATTCCGCTCGCGTAGTTTACGTGGATTTGACCTACTCTTAAAGATGATGGACATTAAATGAATATAAAAAAGTAAACAAAAAAATTCTTATACATTCACAAAACGCAGTTAAAATACATTCAAGACCTTCAAGAAAAATATGTCATCTACAATTACACATAAAGGAAATAAGAATGCTAATAAATTCATTGATATTTATATAAAAAAAATAAACATTTTGCGTGTATAAAACTGACCTGTAAATTTTTTCCCTTCCCGTACCATATTTGCGAGCCAATACGTCCGTCGGTATAAATTCAATATGAGACACATCGTCGTGTCCGCAACCTCCTCAACGCCGTAGCCCGGCACATTACATACAGCTATCCCTGGAAAATAGAAAAAAAAATTTATTAAAAAAAAACGTGTGGTGTTGACTTCATATTTAATAAGTAAATATATCAAGTAGAGTATGGAAGGGCACTTTAAGTAAAAAAGTTTAGGCACAGTTTTGGATGTAATTAAATCGTAATTCGTAACACAGGCAATCGGTAATACAATGAAGGAAAACATTGTGAGGAAACCTCCATGTCTGAGAGAACCTAGCAAGTTTTCGAAAAACATGTGAAGTCCGCCAACCCGCACTTCGCCAGCGCGGTGGACAATGACCTGATCCCGCTCGCATTGAAGGAGAGTCCATGCCCAGCAATGGGACGTTAAAAAGAAGAGCAGAGTACAATAGAGATCGTTACACACTCTCAATACAAAAACTAGTAACTTACAAACTTTCGTGTCTGATTTTCATTTGATTTGAAGTTTTTACGATTACGTCCAGGTAGTAAAAAAACTGTATACATATATATTTAGAGAAGTAACTTTGGCATGTTATATTAAATACAGACTACTTTCTTTGTTGTTCAATATACAAACTTAAATAATAATATAAAAATAAAACAGATCATAATTGCACAAATTGTTACATAATGTCAAGCACAATGAAGAAGACACGATAGAATGTTATTACAAAACAAACAATTACATAATACATGTATTGAAATTTTTAATTAGACATTAATAAAGCGAATATATATTCATATAAAATACAGTAAAATAGAAGCGAATAGAAGCGACATTTAAATTTTTATTATCTAAAATATTCACTATATCGAGTATTTGATAATAATTTTATCAATTTTACACCCAATTCACAAAATATAAAAGCGTGAGACAAAGGTGTTTCTTTAAAATATCCAAGTTTTTGTAACAGTAGATATTTAACATTTTTTCTTCGTAATTTGATAATGCCTTCAATATATAAGGTTACGTTTTAACTTTTGACTTATTATAAATGTTAGTTTATTCTTCTTTTGTGTAACAAAGGAGTGTCGAATTAACATCATTTTTGCACATAGGTAAATCAATTTGTGAGAGAACAGGGAGTGAGAAATTATTTTTATATTTATGTACCGGGAAAAAGTATAGCCCATGTATATTACATAAAAAGAGGAGTACTACATTAGGGAGTATGTGAGTCTGTATGTTTATTAGTTATTACTCCTATACACTAAATAAATTTTTGCCGAATTCCTTTAAATTAATTTTAATTTAAATTTACTATTTTAATTTTTAATATACTAATTTTATCATTATTTCTATATTTATTCTATTAAAAAATATTTTTTTATAAAAAATTAAATAAATACAATTAATAATCAGCTGGACAAATTTGGATGAAATTCAAAACACAAATAGAATATGATATGAGAGTAATACATATACAGGGTGATACTACGCTGAGCTAGGGACGTGAAGTCGCTAGTAATAACAAAAACATTACTAATAACATTATGGATATATGAAGAAGATAAAACGCATGTAAAGAGAAGAGTGATGGAAATGAACGTAGACAGATGGAGAGATAGAGGAAGACCGAAGAAAAGATGGATAGATTGTGTGAGACAGGACATGGAGGAGGAAGGGGTGAATGATGAGATGACGAGTAATAGGGGCGAATGGAAGAGGAAGACTTACTGCGCCGACCACAAGTAACTTGGAAAATGAGCAGGGACAAAAAGAAGAAGAGTACTAATAACATTAATTACCTAGTTCTCCCGCCGCTTTAACGTCGATATTGTCCACACCGGACCCAATGCGGACAATGATCCGCAACGCTTTGAACTTCTCTAGGTCTTCCTTGGTGAGTATGATAGTGTGCCACATGAGAGCGCCTACGGCCTCGTTGAGCACCTTCTCGTGTATCTCCGACGTGGACTGAGCGTCGCAAAACGCTACTGTGGCTACGTCCTTCAGTATTGGCATCTCGACGGTGCAGTCCCTACCGTCGAGTAACGCCACCAGGGGCCTGTAACAACACAAACGTAATATATCATACATGTACATTATCGTTTACTAATTTAAACTCTTGTAGCACATACAGATTGACAGATGAACAAAATGGGACCTTAAAGTTTTTATATATAATAGCTTTAGTAACCCTTGCTTTGAGCGAATTCATATACCTAGATGCCCTTCGCATTTATAATATTACGGAAGTTCTCAAAAGGGACGATTTTTTTTTCGACTTAATTCACAAATATCATCATACCGGTAGCTTATTTTCGTAATATGTTCATAAATATACACCCCCTTCTTGATAACCTCGCTTTCTATTTTTGGAACCGTATGGAAACCTACAATAAGTAGTTTCTGATATTAGCCTCAGTGAACATTTGGTAGAATTTAATTTGTAATATGAAATGACTTTACCGTAACATAAGACCAAAAAAATATTTAACAAAATGAGAGTAACGGTTCGTTCTAAAAGAATACACGTCTTGAATACTATACAATTCATATGTTATTTAAGGTCATCGATCAAACAAGTACTAGATACACAACCCCATACATATCAGTTCTCTTAAAACTATCTCCAATTGCGTTTAGGTAATTATTCTAGTGAAAATAAATATACAACAATGTAAAATGAACCTTAAATGCAAAGCTTAAAGTTGTTTTCACAATAAAATATTAAAAGCGCGCTCAAATGTTCAAATGAAGGCTCATTCGGTGAAGACATTTTCTGTCGCTGATTGTGTATCTAGTGCTTTTTTTGATTGATTTTTAAGGTATTACATACTTGGAAGCCTTGACTTACGAGAAATGTCAGCTTACTTTTGCAGTATTAAAATCTCTACATTTGCAATGATATTAATCGTAACTATTTTGAATTTTGAACACTGCGCATTCATATTAACGTAACTTGAGTTTATTCATATATTATGGCACCACCACACATGAATACACTTATGTTATTGACAACATTCTAAAATTTAGTTATGCCATAGGAGAATTTTAAAAAATCTGCTTATATTTTGCTTATATATGCACTGTGTAAGAAAAAAGCTTTACCCAATTCAAGTCTAACGCAATACAAATCAACAATAGTTCGGACGAATAATTACGAACCCAAACAAACCCACACAACTGTACGTAGAGTGTTGGTACAGTTGTTGCATCATTGTAGGCGATTCCCAGTGCATATTAATCAAGCGGAATTGTTTCGCTCGCGACTAATTGTCGGGCACATTCTCCATGGGAATATATGTACGTACATTGGTATTGAATACGTGTTGTTACCATGTAAACAGTTTCGCAAGTGCTATATTGTCTTATTTCTAATGCCATTACTCGAGATCGGTTGCAAATAATTATTTATTCGAACAGAATTTTTATATCAAACAATCCTAAAAAATAGCCAAAACTAGTTATATTATCAAGATTGATAATAATTCGTGATTATAGAAATGTCTTACATGCAAATGAAAAAAAAACTTTTAATTTAATTCTATTATCACTATAACGGCACGGTGAAGGAAAACGGGTGAGGAAACCTACATGTCTGAGAGAACCTCGAAAGTTTTCGAAAGACATGTGAAGTCCGCCAACCCGCCCTTGGCCAGTGTGGTGAACTATGGCCTGATTCCCCTCGCATTGAAGGCAGGCCCACCCCCAGCAGTGGGACGTTTAAAAGGGCTGAATACAATCACTATAACAATACAGCCAGTATCTATATTGTAATATTGCTATATTAATGCACAGTTAGTAGTTACTCAAAGCAATACGAGTTGAAACACACAATAATAAATATACTAGCTATTGATTACCACAATAAAACAAAGAATGTTGCATTATTCAGCTTCACTAGTAGAAGCAAGCCATTCACAAACTATTCAAACTGCATCCGTCCAACTAACTGATTGTTATAGGAACGAGACTGTTCGATGTTTTGTATGAAAGCTATCCGTTTTGTTTGATTGAAAAATCTTCATATGTAATAAAATGCGATGTTCAATGTTACGTCGAAAAAAATATATAAACGCTGTAAAATCACTTGAAAACGGCTGATGTTCTGATTTTTTGTAAATAATAGGAAAAAATTAAATTTTATATATAGGATTTTTGGCCATTATTTCTGTATGAATTTAAAGATGGCAAACAAAACTAAAAATATCAATAAAGAACAGCTAGAGGTCAGCTATACTTAAATGTATACGAAACAAATATAGGTACTTATTAATAATTATTTAAGTAAATGAGATAGCTGCATTCTTTGAACAAAAAACAAGGCCTATTGCTACCGGTAAAAGTAATAAGACGAAGTGTTGCCTTATACGAAGTTTTTAGCACATTGACTCAATAATGTATATATAGGATTTCCACTGCTACCCATTAGTACCAAAATCTAAAGCTATTGTATGAAAGATTTTAACATGTAAATTTTATTAGCCACGAACGCACACTTTGTTTCTTATTCAGAGTATTATGTCCATGCTTGAAATGCAAATATAAACTTCTTTTATAGCCCAAGTAGAATATAATTTGCAGGTTGGTATTATCATTTAATAGTGATGTAATCCTAAAATTCATTTCCTATGTGAATAAAGCAAATGTGCCGGTGAAATTTATTACGAGACCCAACGTTCCTTAAAGACGACATAAATTACATGGGGTATATATTACATAATGGCAACCTTTGCCCAAATCCTTGGGATAGCGACGATCAAATCGAATCGACGGACAAATTGGATTCCAAATCAAATATCGGCTACTTGGGATACGAAATCTAACATTCGAAGTAGATTAAAACGATTTGGGGACCCTTCCACTGCTCCGGAATAATTAAAGCAGCGCCAGTACGATTAAACTAATAAATTAAACTTTCGTCATAGCGAGGCAGAATTATTATTATTGCCGCTGAAAGTTTCGGCGGGTGAAACGAGAAAGTAATTCCGAAGGGGGAAGTTTTACGGAATTTCGTCGAACTTTGCCGGGCAGACGGAAACAGATTTGGGGGCAAACAAAGAGATGGGGTAGCGGCGTATCGCGGAGGCAACCCCTTTGGACAAGTTTTGATGGAAAGTAAATAGGATTAGCGCGGGAAAAGAATAAGTTGACTAAGCCCGACGGACGAGGCTTTTTAGGTTTGGGGAGGCTCTGCGGACTTCGAAAGTGAATTAAGATTGATTCTAGGAAATGTCTGACGAGCATATTGTTTATCTGCGATATAACACTGTACTTGATACCAGACTTCTAAACCAATTTATTTGTTGTGCTTCAAAAGCTACAAAGTCATAAAGTTGCTGTAGATTGAATCACTGCATCGTTGTCGAAAGTTCCACTTATTATATTTTCATCGTACGAAATTGATCTTATACTTTCCATTGTTATTAAAATAAAATGATATCTTTAAATAATATTTTCTTCACTGGTTATAATGCATATTATGTAATACGTAAACTGTCTAAAGTTAAAAGTAAATCTGCAATGCGTCGTGGAAGGTTAAAGATAGGTCAAGGCGGGATGAAAATGGCGTTGTTGGATTTGTTTTATTAATGTGTTTTGGTTACGTGTGCAATACGCTGGCTGGGAGTACCCAACGAGGAAATCAAATTTTGTTATAGAACAAATAGTAACATTCAGTTATATTTGCATATTTATAATAGCATAAGTAATCTATACATATACCTAATAAAATGTTGAGTCGAATCTGTACATGAAAATTAATCATTATTATCGATACAGACGCCGAATATATAGTTTTTAAAATTATTGTCTGTCCGTCTGGAAACGCATCAAGAGTAAACTACTGGGCAGATTGTGATAAAATTGGTATGATGATAGCTAGTTGCCCGGGTCAATTTAAGATACTTTTTACTGCGGGATAATATCTCTGAAAAATTTATTCTAACCGTTAAAACGCACCTAGGGACGAACCCGAGCGGAGCGAGGGGAGTTGTTAGTATATATTATAAGTGTAAAATAAAATAAAAAAGGTTTTGTTAGAAAAAAGTATTAATACGAGATAATAATATATTTTTTAACTTTCAAAGCTTGTTAGTAGGTCTTATCATCTTAACACGTAAAAGCGTGAATAGTAGTGTTGCATGTCTGAAGTTAATTTAAACCTCATTAGCAACGTATTAAAGTCGACGTGGCACGCAGACTACATACTAAATCACGGTATAATCTGTATTCAATACGTCCAATTATTGACTGCTTTCAAAGTTATAAAGTCTAATAACAAACGAATAAATGTACGCATTGAACAAAGCTACAACTTTCATTTTTCACCTTTATCTGACAAACCCGAAAAGATAGTTTTATATTACGCGATATATTTACTACAATTAATAAATTAGTGATCTATATAAATGGTTTTTAATGAAGATGTTATAGGTAGGCCCCTCAAGGGATTTATATAAATAATGCAATTTATATAGATCCAATCTTGACGTACATAAGCTATTCTACGGATAAAATATAACGCAAATAAACCAAAATGATGCATGCACACTTGAATGAAAAAGTAATGTAAGAATAATAAAAATATAACAATTTAAAATAGATAGGTACTAAATATATCATAAACAGATCAACTTTAGAGTATTTAACAAATAACTTGAACAAACGGAGCCGACAATCAGACAGGCGGACTTTAAACGAGTTATGTAATTTATGTATGTATTCGTTCGGTGCGATAATAATATAATCAACGGTTATGAGTTTACGGCGCGGCGAATATCAAGGACGATCGAGGCCGACGCCGCAAGTGCTCTCGTCGTTTATTATGACCCTCGACGTTTCGAATAAATAAACTACGAATAGGGCAAACATCTTAATACTTGAATAACAAAACATATTATTATTATTTATTTAATATATTTCAATACTAGCGTTTTCCTGCGGCTCCGCTCGCATAGTACATTAATCACCAACATATCATACACTAAAAGCTTCTCCGAAACACGCTGCATCTTATGGTATGAGTATTATTCCGATCGGTTCAGTAGTTATCACAGTATAACCGAACAAAAAAATCGGCTCTCCATTTATTAGTAGGTATAGATTATTTGTCCGTCATTACTGCATGTGTGTCCAATTGACACTGCGTACTAATACTATTATTAGGTGCTACCTACTATTATTAGGCGTCATTATGATTCAATATAGGCGAACAAAAGACTAACACTATATCTCAAATAACCAGTAATCTATACGTATAATAAAATTCGAACTAAGCCGAATCTGTACATTAAATATTTTTTGGAAAATCTTATTCCAACAAACATTATTATCGATACAGAGGCCGAATATATAGTTTTTAGATTTTTTGTCTGTCTGTCTGTCTGTTCCCGCATCACGGAAAAACAACTGGAGGGATTTTGATGAAATTTGGTATGATGGTAGCTGGTTATCCGGGTCAACACATAGGATACTTTTTACTGCGGGGAAATATCTCATTTCTGAGAAAAAATACAAAAACTGCAATGTATGAGTATACTAATATGTAAAACTTAAGAATTTAGATTTTGATCATCTGAACGCGGGCGGAGCCGCGGGCAATGCTAGTGTAAATAAATATGGTATTATATTATTTGCATGAAATTTTGTTCTTGCACTATTTTTGGAATGAAGTGGAGACTTACATGAAATGAAAAATTTAAGAAAGATTTCACATTCATGGATCCAGCAATTGAGTAATTAAAATGGACATGGAAACTGTATTTTTTTTAAATTGAAAAACACAGATGTTCGTAATTGACAATTTCAAAAAGAAACTTTAATTATACATGCATAATCCATTTAAAGTCATAAATATGTAGTATTTCCATGAAAAAAAAACAAAAACGAAAAAATGGCTTTACTACGGACTGAAAGGTGATGTAAACTTGTAAAAGCTTTTGTTTTGGCATTAAAAATTCAGCTGGCTAAAAAGTTTGATAAAGGTAAACTCGTGTCCGGATCACGGGTCGTCAGAAATTAAAGGTCGTGGAATCACGTTTTTCTAAATATCTCCTCTGCTTTGGTCAAAATGAGAAGTAATACCAAGAAATCTGGAGCATAAAATTCTCTAAAAATTTGGTCTAAAACTATTGTTTTGATTCACACGATAAACCGTTTAAGATCTGCAAGAACGACAGAGTGAAAGGAGCTTTACTGCATAAAAATCCTTTTGGTTTTATTGTACATCCGTGATTAAAATCGAATCCTCTAGCTAATTAATCGGCCAAATTTTTCAGATGTAATTGTTAGTCTATCTGGCGATGAGGTCATAGTACTCGTAATCTAGTTTTTTTTAGAAAAATATATTTACGTGCAATACACTTTCAATCGACACAATTTGCATGTTGTTAACATCTTTCTCCTTTGATGGAACCAAAAAATAAATATTAAATACATAAACTTTATAATAGATACAAAGTTTATAATAAATGATTGAATTTAACTTATCACCGCTAAAAATAAATATATAAATACATAATAATAAATGCAAATGAACTTTACCACAATAAAGAACCACTAACTTACGAATCTGCATGTCAAAAGTTTATCTCTAATCTTTGCGCTCATTCAATGCTTGAACTCTAAAGCACATCCTGTTTCATGTTTGTATTCTTAGGTTTATTATTTAGAATACTAAGTTCAATGTACAGAGAAGTAAACGGTAATAGCGTGTTCCAACTTTGCGTAAGAACCGAGAAAACATTATTGAGGCATATAAAATTCTGAGCAGTAAAAAAGCTAATGCGCTCGACTGCAGTAGATGATTGCAGGCTTGAGTTGCTTAAAAACTTGTGCGATGAGACGGAAAAACGTCTGTTTTCATTTTATATAGTAGGTACATAACAAACTTCTAATGTGAATCTTAAGGCTTACAACTACTACAAAAAATTAGTTTGAAAGCACTTTCAGATGCGTGCAATCTTTATATTGGCATAAAAATTATTTAATTTACAAGTACATATTAGAGCAGTTCCTCACCTCGATTGCAGGGGTCCATTGGCGATCGGACCCCGCATGCTATCCATACGCGCTCTCTTTGGCAGCATCTTGCGTTTGTCCATTTAAAGCGGCAGAGCCGCTTTAATTACCGCTCCGCAGCGCGTCACCTGTGAACAACGTTTCATTTATTATGTGACTGTACTCAGTTATATTTCAGTTTCGAAATGTTTTTCGATCAAAAATGTGCACTGAAACTTCAACATGAAACAGAGAATTTTTGCACTGAGTTAGTTATATTTTATAATAACACTTATAAAAAAGCTTTAAATTTAAAATGCCTATTGCAATTTCACAGAGTGGAATTATGATATGAAATTTTTTATATTATATTTTTAGAATAACGTTTTAAATAATAAAACATGCAATTTTTTTTTATTAAATTAATATTAAATTTCTTTATGTAGGTCTCAACAATATCTGTTATTTTATTACGAGTACTAATAGTGGGAACTAAAACGGAGTTTAAAGTTTATAGTTTTTAAAATAGTTTGTAATATTCTACCGTATAAACTATAAAATAATTAAATTAATAAAAGATTGAGTAAATTGTTGTCAATATTATACTAGTTTTGTTTTAATTGAATACAAACTAGCGTTTGTTCTAGCAAAAGTTATTGCATAATATATGATAGTTTATGAATAAACAGCAGAATAAATACTAAAAAATCAATTACATACAAACAATTAAAGTGTCATCTATTTATATATGGATAAATTATAATAAGTGCCACCAAGCAACACGGTCGATTAAAGTGTAAAGAACATAAACGACGCGCGTGTAAAACTGTTTTAGTGATAAGGCAACTAGACAATTTGCTGCTGCGAACTTTATTATCACAGCGATTGGATGGACGTTAATGGGTAGAATTATGTTAACTAATCCATACTAATATTATAAACGCGACTCACCTTCCCACTTCCCACCATTTCGTCCCTAGACAAAAGCAAATGTTTCCTACCGAGAACCGTACATTTTTCCGGGATGATATAGATAGGCTATAGCCTTCATCAATAAACGGGCTATCTAATGCAAAAAGATTTTTTCAAATCGGATTAGTACTTCCTGAGATTAGCGCGTTCAAACAAACAAACACTCTGCATCTTTTATAATATTAGTTTAGATCTGAATGTTTGGTAGGATGGATGGGTGTTTGTAACTCTCTTACGCCAGAACGGCTGAACCGATCTGGATAAAATTTGTCACAGTGATAGATTATAGTCTAAAATAGCATATAGGTTACTTTTTATTCCGGAAAAAATGTACGGTTCCCGTGGGATAAACCATAAGTTCAAACTTGAATTTATTAATACGCTTTATTTATCGTAATATATTCTGAACCCAACATTTATACAAGCGACGGTTAATCTAATATTCTCATTAGTATAAAATATTATGTTCAAAGGGTAGAAGTAATACAAACAAAAAAACTACGCCTTGCAAATTGTTTTCAATTTTTCTAGGCATCAAGCATATCTCAATGTATCAATTTTGCAGACTAGAGCAAACGGCAGCGCTTACAATGTGATTGTCTGAAATCTTGGAGCTTTGCCAATGCGATTTGGGCGCATGAATATACAGTTATGGTAAAATCCTATAAAAGTATTTGAATTATCTTTCCTCATTTATTAATGATTATATAATTTCCTAAAACATGAAGTATTTCAGGTATTAAGATACAACGTGACACATGTTATTCTATTGTAGGTGACGCGATAAAATTCCAGTTTTGTAATTAATAAACGTTTTAAATTTTAATGTAACGTTCTGTGTCACATAGTAAGTTAGTAAAAAAAACACGATATTATATCATAAGTATCGCAAACAAAGATTACAGATAACAATTAATACAGCTTCATAGAGTAAAATAGTAAACCCTATTAACTGTAAGTTTAATTGTTGTTTATATTTATGTATAGATAAATAATAAAATTGAAGTGACTGTTGTTTGTAATGTCGTAATAAAAGTTTTTTTACTAAATGCATATGAAAATATAATATAAATATAATACGGTACTTATAAGAAAAACACTATATTTTTTTCATTTTTGTCTGTCTGTCTGTTTAATTTGGCTAATCTACGAAACGGGGGGACTGATTTTGACGGGACTTTTACATGCAGATAGCTGATGTTATGAGGAGTAACATAGGCTACTTTTGTTGTAAAAAAAGATGAAGGGTTCCGCTCAAAAAAATTACAACGTACCCGAACGAAGCTAGGATAAATTACAAGTAACCATATAAAATCTAAATGACCCTTATATTATATTCAATCTTGTTCTTTTTAATTTCATTCATGAATTACACATGTGTCTTTGAAAACACAGTAATTGATTATTATGAAAGGCGACTTGCGTTATATGTATATGGAAATGAGTGAACGATCAATATCTGTGTCTACTCACAATTTCAATGTCATTAGGGTTGGCGTTGGCAAATCGCTCTCGGTCTCGCCGCGCTCATTTTACCTAGGGCAGAAACAACTTGTTGAATTACTAATCTACTTTAGAACCTACTTATTGCGTACTGTTAGGTTATTGGGTCATTTATGTTAATTAGCGTATTTGTCACTTGTGATATTGTTTCTATGAGAGTGGCAATTTAACTACTTTTTATTTAGAAAATGTTTTTGTTAAATTATTACTTTAAGTAGGTATATGTCAAAGTTTTATAATCTTATTTGACCGACCAATTCCTTTCGTGTCTACTCCATCCTACGTGATATTGACAAAACAATCTGTGCACAACTGGCACGCTTTGAAGCCATTAACACACGAATTGAATTGAACTATGTCAAATATTTTTTTTAGTAAGAATAATATAATTGTTTATTATGAATGTAAATATATGTTTAGAATACTGTCGATTTCGGTTGAGTTATTATCACTTATTGGCAAGTAATGCTCAAAGTAGTTTTTGCAAGAAACTAAACGACTTAATGCACCGAAAAAAAAACTATCTTCTCGACGTAAAAATCACGTTCATTCCATTCAAATTCTATTGTATCGTGAAATAACGATAAACCAAAGAAAGAAATTTCAATGTCTTTTGTATATTTATATTTTGAGTAAAAACCGCAAACGTTGATATCAAGGATTAGATAGAGATTAGATATACCTACAAATTACTCTTAATGAAATTAATAAGTTTTTGATCATATTTGTACATATACTTACATATATATACTTGTATAGGCTACATAATATATTATGATTTCGAGAAAGAAAAAAATGTGCACAGGTTTATTGACTTGGAACTTGGATAGGTATACGTCTAAGAAACATTACATAACAATATGACAATAAGTGTTATTTTGCAATATCTTCTTCAAAAGTGATGGACCCTCATCCCGATTTCCCGATTTTTCTAGATAAGTTAAACGACTATTAATTGATATTAACTTATTTGTATATATATTTTTTACTTATTAGTTATTAAACATTAATCAATGTGTATGAATAACTTAAAAAAATAACATGTCATTTATTGAATAATGAACATTAATACAACCCCATTTTTTTAAATCTTTATTAAAAAGTACCTTGTGTATGAGAATAACACAGAATTATGTAACTAAAAAAAATACAGTATGCAAAGTAAACCAAGTAAGTCAGACACTTACACGGCAGGTAGTTTTTTAAGTGTCTAAATCGAGTTCATTAGTAGAACTTTTATAGAAGGAAACCTCAATTGGAAATGTGGGGTTGAAAATTATTTAAAAAAACCTTATTCTATTTGACGTATTAAAAATAATTTATTTAATAAATTATTTTAAAATAAAGGATAGCACTATTTTATCAACTCGAACAATAGAGTTTAATTTGATCAATGTGTTATAAAAATACAGAACATTTATCTTATTATAACAATATGACTAAAGTAGGTCATTATATAATCAAAACAATAGGTAATAGATACGTAGTGACGTACGTATATCACTGTATATATATATATATATATATATATATATATATATATATATATATATATTTATTGTGTAAACATCACTAAGCAATTAAAATATGAGGAAAATATAAAATAATGAGTAACAATATTATTTTTATCTAATCAGGTACCTATTATGTGTTGTGGTGAATAAACAGTGAAGTTCATAATCCCTACATATTTACAAGTCATCAGATTCCGGATAAATACAAAAGCGTAAAGCTCTACTACTACTACAAAAGAGTAAAGATCTACTACATACTAAAACTTCAACATGAATAAATTAAATTGACTTAAGAATGTAATTAATTTGAAAACAGACAAATACCTTGGTTTTATTTACAAATTTTATTTACAAAAAAAACCAGATTTCGAAGTATGTAGGAAAATCACGTAAACTTTATGATAGAAGGACTCGAGGGAGATGGACACAAAATGACAGGTGGACTCATAAAAAAAAATTCAGAAGTGATATGAAACTGTTGTAAAAGGCGGAGAGATACGTTTTATAGTTCCATTGTGCCTGCCGTCGTGGGTTTTTGCAAGCTAGCGTGCAATCGTCCTTATCTCTTACTTAATATGTTTACTTGTATAAATTGGTACTAAATACTTATTGGATTAAAAAAGTATACTGCACAAGGTCATACACAGAGGTCATTTATAAAGTTTAATAATCGTTGAAATTTAAAAACATAATAAATAACTTTAATATATTAATTGCCACTGACTGTAATAACAACCAAAATGTTCCATTAACTTTTTTGGTACAAACAAAAATAATGGAACATTTTTGAGTTTCGGATATTTTATTTCCAGCATATTCAAGCAGATATTAAATTTTTAACGAGGATAACTTATTTTTAATATTTAGTGTTATATAATAATGCTCTTCACTACTAGCATTGGATATAATTTTTTACGTGCATAAATATATATGTGCAATTAATATATATGTTAGTTTTAAGGTATATATACTATGGGCCTCTGTTTACATATGTAAGATCCTTTTGTAAATATTGCCTGAAATAAATGATTAAATAAAAAAACTACTTATATACGAGTAGGTACCATGTGCATATTATGAGGTTTTTGTTCGAGTTTGATCTACGAGCAAAGCAG